CGGAGGCGGGGACCGGGCACCAGGAGCGCAGCCTCGCAGCCTCGCGTTGGGCGTAACCGACACACACGACGCGATGTCCGTACAGATTGTGAGACGTTCACCCACTAGATGCACTGCCCAGGTTTCGTGTGTTCAGCCACCTGCGCCTTCCAGGGGAAGAATCCCACCGGGCGCGGTGTATGAACCTGCCGGCTTCGGCGCTGGCGGTGCTGAGAATTGTCGCTCCGAGGTCATCGGGGATGTTGGGCTGCAGGTTTCGTGCAGTGTCTCTATCTTGCTTTGGCGTCAAGGCAACACTGGCATAAAAATAGGAAGTGTTCCCTCCTCTTCATGTTTTTGGGAAAACTTGAGAACTGGTATTAATTCTTAAATGTTTGGTGGAATCCACCTGTGAAGCCATCAGTTCCAGGGCTTTATTTAAAAACTTTTTATTGATTTTAGAGAGAGAGTGAGAAACACTGATCTGCTGGTCCACTTATTTCTGCATTCGTTGGTTGCTTCTTGTATGGGCCCTGACTGGGGAATTGAACCCACAGCCTTGGTGTATTGGGACAATACTCTAATCAACTGAGCTGCCCCACCAGGGCCTTGACACTTGAAAGCTGTTTTTTAAGGAAAAAAAAATAAGGCTGGCGAGTCCTTCAGAGTCAACCATACTCACCCCACAGTTGGCCGTGTGTCTATGCTGTGAACAGGTTGAGGACAGGGCCCAGGTCCTGATCTCTGTATTGTGCGATCTTATTACCAGACACTGACATCCACATGGGGCTGGGCCCAGTGCCCAGGCCTGGGGTGGGGAGACAGAGAGCCCGCACTGGGAAAGCTCCAAAAACTGCTCCCCCCACCCCTACCAGGGCCCAGGGAGGGGCTGCCCATTGTTCCAGGAGAGGTTTGTTTCTTTCACTGTTTCCATTTAACCTTCGGGGAAGGGTGCTTAGAAATCAGGACTTGTCCAGATCCTCTGGCCCCTAAGAGGGAGCTGCGGTCCATGGATGCGTTAAGGCCGTGTGGCTCCTTACCTGGTCAAGCCGGCAGCTGCCCTAACCCCACGAGCCTTGGTTTGCCCATCTGTAGAATGGGAGAGATGATAGAAGCTGCCTGCTGGGTGTATGTGGATTGCATGTTGGGCTCAGGGCTGAGGAAGCCTTCGCTGCGGCTGCTCTCACTGTGGGTACTGTAGGGACTTAGCAGTTTGTCGCATCTGCGACTCCAGGACACTGGCCTTCGCTGGTCTTGTATCAGTTACAGAATTCCTGCCTGTTTCTTGTTGAATGCGTCTGTATATATGTGGATACTGTTTTATACAGGCGTGTACTTACACGGAGTAAACCTCAGCCTCAGATGGGGACACTTCTGTCAGTGCCGCTGAAACCACAGCCTTTGATCTGAGTAACTGTAACGTAATGAAACGGCACTCGGGGCAGATCTCCACTGTTTGGTCTGCACGCATTGTTGAGCCACTGCGGGGGTAAGTACGTCCAGCAGGGGGTGAGGACAGTGGTGAGACAGCAGCAGCAGAGCCAGGGTGACCAAGGAGACCAAGGCAGGGACGGGAGGCTCCCTCGTGCTGTCAGTGAGGACGTGGGACGAGGCCCTGACCAGCTGGGAATGCCTCCAAAAGGGGTCAGTGCCTGCCTGGCCAGGTAGCTCAGAGAGCTAGAGTTGTCCCTATACGCCAAGGTTGCGGGTTCAAGCCCCCATCAGGGCACATACAGGAAACAACCAATAAATGCATAAGTGGAACAGCAGATGGACGTTTCTCTCTCTCAAAAAAATAAATAGGAAGTGGTCAGTTTTTAAAGAAACAAATTCATGGCCAAGAAACAGGCCTGGATTTGTGTTTTTAGGTTCAGTGCCACAGGAGTGATCAGCAGTGAAAGCCTGAGGTCCACTGGGATTTGGTGTTTTTTCCTGTTTCTCACCTGGGTACATGCCCGTCACGTGCCTGGACATGGCCCCACCTGGCAGCCCTCATTGTGGGTGGGCCCAGAGACCATGCGTCGGGGCCCCCAGCCCCTCGGCCGCCTGCCCTGGTGCTGCAGGCCCAGGCTGTCTGCTGGGAGGAGGTGCCGGTGGCTGGTTGGCTCCCAGAGGGGCCTCCTCTTCCTTCCTTGGGTGAGGTGTCGGGGCCTTAAAAGCAGAAAGTGAAAGTAAGAACCTGGCGAGTGGGTTTCCCCAGCTGGGCAGGGTGCCCAGCCGCCGTGTGCCGTGTCCCTGGGGAAGCGTCTGTCTTACACGCTGTCATCCTGTCGTCACCTGCCCTGCCAGTTGTGCAGTGTGACACGGTCCCGCCTGCCAGGGTCTGACGTCGTTTCCCTCCTGTCCCAGCCATCACCACACGTCTTCTTGGAGCCTCTGCTCTGCTCTTTCCTGTCCCTACGAGGACCACGCGCCTAGGGCACCTCTTCCTCAGGCCTTTGCTCAGCCGGCCAGGCTGGTCATCCTGAGGTTTTCCTTCTTGCCTCTTTCTGTTCATTTCTAGAGCGAAGTCCAGGGGAAGAGGGAAACAGAGGACTCTCAGAAATTCCCGAGAGAGCAGGATTTCCAGACTGTTTGCTGGGGCACCAGCCAGAGGGGTGTAGTCATGGGCTGGGCTTATCCCGGGGAGGTATTTGCATGGGAGTGGCGCAGGGGCCATGGTGGGACCCGGTGTATGGCCGAGGTCCACCAATTAGTTCTGAACCCCAATCATAAAACCACCACAGCCATGAGACTTGGGGGCACGTTCCCGGGGTGTGTGCACGAGTGCGAGAAAGCAGCGCATGTCTGGCTGTGGAGGTGGGGTCTGTGAACCGGGAGTTACGTGCAAGTTCCAGGCCGTGTTCAGAGAGCGAGGTGGGTGCAGTGAGGCTTGTTCCCAAGCAGGGAGAAGGTGAAGAGCTGTTGCTGTGGGACCCACTTGTAGAAATGCGTGTTCTAGGTGCTTAGGAATGTTCTGGAAAGACCCGTGCCCGAACACTGAAGAGCGGCTGCCTCAGGAGAGAAGCTGGGCGGAGGGGCTGGTGGGAAGCAGGGAATGTGTTTTTGTTTATTTCCCTCTGTACGGTTGATGTTTCTGTAACCATGGCCGTGTCTCGCCCACTGGGAAGTGGTCGAAGGTCCTGGGTTCCTGGTGTCTGGTGCCCAGCAGGGCCATGCCCTCCTGCGCGTGGTCCCGGGAAGCTCGGCTGCTCCCCGACTGTCCAAGGCTGTTTCCATTTGTGGGACGGATGGGCTCATTGCTCAGGCCCCGTTTACGATGATTTCTTTGAAAATGGGAAACCATAAAATTAAGGTAGGGTAGAAAGCAAAGTGCAATTTAAAGGACTTTTTTTAACGACGTCATTGGGTTTGGTGTACTCGCTCCCTGTGGCTGCTGTGACCAAGTATCTAAACTGGGCGCTTAAGCCTGGCCAGCGTGGCTCAGCGGTTGAGCATCGACCTAGAATCCAGGAGATTGAGGTTCGATTCCCGGTCAGGGCACATGCCCGGGTTGCGGGCTCCATCCCCAAGCAGGGGCGTGCAGGAGGCAGCTGATCAATGACTCTCTCATCATTGATGTTTCTATCTCTCCCTCTCCTTCCTCTCTCTGAAATCAGTAAGATACATTTAAAAAAATAAACTGGACGCTTAAAACAAGAGGAATTTAATTTTTCACAGCTTCCAGGGGTGGGCGGGGCGGGGCTGGGCTCCCTGGAGCCCCGGGGAGGGTCCTTCTTGGCCTCTTCCCGCCTCTGGTGGCAACACCAGTCTCGGGTGTTCTGTCTCGTAGCTGCAACTCCTGCCTCTGCCTTCATGTGGCCTTCTTGGTTTGTGGCCACATCTCCCTCTTATAAGGACACTAGTTATTTGATTAGGGTCCACTCTAGTCCAGTATGACTCCATCTTAACTACTCGTTTCTTAAAGATCCTGTTTCTAAATAAAGTCACATTCCCAAGTACTGGGTTGGGCCAGACATGTCTTTTAGGGGCTGCCCGCCGCAGGGCAGTGGGGTTTCTACCCTTCCTATCTAGTGTTGGGAATCGCCACACTTGGTCACTTGCTGACGTAAAATTTAAAACTGTGAACTTGCTCATGAAAGTAGAATTTCAGATGAGGTTTCAGATGGAATGTGATAGGCTGACGGCTGCAAAGTGAGTGGTCAGTCTGGAAGCTGACCTCCGGGTGTTTTTCATCCAGGGGCGGGGTTCATGCCGGTGTTTCCTTTACTTTATGACCTTTGTCTCTGACACTGCTTTTCATCAATAAACTCTGTTTTTAAATCTTCCACTCAGGAAATTGAGAGACTTTCTGAGCAGCTAGAAGAGAAAGAGAGGGAGATCCAGCAGCTGATGAGCCAGCCGGGGCACGAGCAGGAGGAGGTCGCCCTGCTGCGCAGGCAGGTGGCGGAGAAGGAGCGGGCCCAGGCCGCCAGCGACATCCTGTGCCGTTCCTTGGCCGACGAGACCCACCAGCTGCGGAGGACTCTGGCCGCCACGGCCCACATGTGCCAGCATCTGGCCCAGTGTCTGGAAGCACGACAGGGGGCCGTGGGGGAGCAGAGACCTGAGGTAGGTTGTGCTGTACGCAGGGCGTGGTGAGGGTGTCGAGGAGCAGGAGACACTGCCCGCGGCCCCCACAGCCCTCTGCCATCGCGGAGTTCCGGGCACCCAGGCCCACTGCTGTGGAGGCAGAGCCCACCCTTCCAGGGGTTTCTCCCAGAGTGATGGGACGTGCAGAACGGAACAGGAAAGCCAGCCTTCACCAGCCCCGCCCCTGTCCCGGGCCTGCAGCGGGCCCTGTGCCCGGGGGCCCGGGGCCATGGCACTTTGGTCCATCAGCCTTAGCGAGGACCAGGAGGCAGGGCTGGGCTGAGGGTCTGCCCTCAACACGCGTTCGGCAGGTGAGGGAGCTGCAGAGCGAGGTGAGAGCGGCGCCTCCTGGTGCCGCCTGTGCAGAGGACTGTGCAGCGTCCAAGCGAGCAGGGTCAGCCCAGCGCAGGCCTCCTGCGGAGCCGGGGCAGCGTGGCAGCCCTGGTTAGAGACGCGAGTGTCCTCAAGTGGAGATGGCAGCCCTGGCCAGGCACTGTGCAGGGTGGGCTGGGT